AGGTTTAATCCAAGAACTATAAGTAATCTTAACTGTTTGTTCTCAATGCACAATTGAAAATGAGTGAATTTAAGTAAAATGGCCGGTTTCAATATAAGCTTAAGCTTAAATGAAAGGCAAAGTAGCTCCGACAAAAAGCACAACAAAAGCTTACGTCTCGTTCTGTTTATCCCTTTCCGCTGTTGTTTCACCGGCTCTCTACCGTATTTTTTTTATCGACAGTGAAACAAACGAAACTATTCCACTCCATTTCCGAAATGTTTTTCACTTTTTAGCGAGAAAAACTCCTTGAGTAAAACTTTTCTCGTTGATAAATGTGTGCGAGGCGGCGCTGCAAGCTGCAATAAAAAGGCGGGAATTTTGGCGCGAAACTCCTACACCTCTGTGGCTTCTGATTGGACGTATCATTTTTCTCACACGTGAAAAAACATCGTTCGCGATTCTGATTGGACGTATCGTTTTTTTCACGTGTGAAAACCATCGTTCGCTCCTCTGATTGGCTATAACTAATTTGCGTACGAAAATTTACGACATAGCTTTTTGGTGAGTATTTCTCAGTATGTATATAATAAAAAGGTTTATGGATCTCTCAGGTAACCAACTAATTCCGATTAATTTTAAGCGTTTAATTGGTCTAAAAATAACTTTGGTGAAATTCACGTATCCCAAGGGCTAGACTGGGCGTTTCCCTCTTTGTGCCATTATATATTCTCTCTTGGACTGACAAATCATGTAAAAATTGTTAGTCTACCGGATTGCTCGTCAGAATATTATTCAACCTGATTCCGTAAATGATATCCTTAATATCCCAAAATTGTTACCTTGTGTGGCCTTGAGTTTTACTGGATACAAATCCATGTCTTTGAGAGACGCTTCCAGAATTCCTTTGTCCCTATTCAGTGAGTCAATTTCAGCTGACATCTCTTGTCGTTTTCCCAACAATTCAACAACACTTTTCTTTTCAGCCTTTACTTCTCCCTCGCATTTCAAAAGTTGTGACTTCAGAGATTCATTGCCCTGCTTTAGGCTGCGAATAATTTCTTCTGCTCTGGTAATAGTGTTTTCTTTCTCGGACATGACTTCCTCCATTTTTTGTTTCACTTGTGACGCCGAGCTCTTCATCTCTTCAAAACTTTCCAGTAGATGATCTTTCTCGTTTACGGATCGAGCCAAGTTTTCCTTCAAGCTGGCTATCTCGTACTTGAAATGACTATTCTCCTTTTGTGCGGCTTCGAGTGATTTGTGGACCTCACGTAAACTCTCTTCCTTCCCTGACACAGAGGACCTCAAACGTTCTACTTCTTGGATCAAAAACTCTTTAGACACTTCAGCGGACGACAGGGCGGAGTTCACTTCTGCGATATCCGCAAACCTCTGCTTCGATTCTTCTTCCAGTGTTTGAACTTTGTCAATCAAGCTTGAATTCTCTCTTTTAAGGCTCTTAATGTGACATTCCAGAGATGTTATCGTGTTTTCCTCGGCTTGCTTTGTCTTACCTAACTCAGCCAGTAAATTTTCCTTTTCTTTGTTTAAGACAAGAAGCAGACCCTCCTGTTTGTCTAGCTCGCTGTGTAAATGTTCCACCTCTTCACGCAGTTCGCCTTTTTCTTTCATAGCAGAAATCTTAAAGTTTTCGTATTCGGAGCGAAGTTTTTCGTTTTGGGACTTCCCATCTTCCAAATTTGAGACAAGCGCTCTGGTGTTCACCTCGCTCTCATTCAAACTTCTTAACAAATCTTTAACAGCTTCCTTTAGCTCTTCTTCTCTTCCCATAGCTTCATCTATCTCTGATTTTTGCAAGCTTATCGTTTTCTCCAGATCTGTCATCTTGTTTTTCAACTCAGTTCCTTCGAGTTCCATTTCTTCCAGAAGGGACGACTGCTGTTTAAATTCTTCTTCTTTACCGTCTAGTTCGCTTTTCAATTTAGCCGCTTCTATCGCCTTCTCGTTCAAATTTATCTGCAAAGTAGCAACGTTTTCTTCAAGTGTTTTATTTGTCTGAGCATTTTCGAGGGAGGATTTTCTCAAGATCTTAACTTTGTGCAACAAAACAGCTATTTTTCCTTCTTTCCCTTCACAATATCGCTTCTGTTTTTCTAACTCTTGAAGCAGACTTTGTTTCACCTCGTCAGCACAAACTTTCTCACTTTCTGCCAAATTCAGTAATTCCTTCACTTGATTAAAATTGTCTTGAAGACTAGAAAGATTGCTTAATGTTTCTTTTAACTCCACCTCAGTTGTTTCGTACTTCCCTGTTATTTCCTGCACCTGTTGTTCTTTCCTTTCCAGTTCACCTTTAAGCCACGATGAGCTATTTTCTAATTCCTGTACTTTACGTCTTTCATTACTCAGCTCCTCCATAACTGCCTTTTTTTCTTGGTCTCTTAATTTTTGTTTCTTTTCAAAGTCTAACGCAGCATTTATCATGTTTGCTTCCATCATTCCCAACTCCTTGTCGTTCTTCTCTAAACGTCCTTTTAGCTCTGAAAGCTTTTTATCAAGCAGATCACTTTCATCCTGCGTTATTTTCAAGTCCCTTTTCAGCTTGGCCTCATTTTCGTCAGCTTGTTGTACGAGGCTTGCCATGTTCACTCTCATGTCTTCTACATCTTTGTTTGAGTTTTGCAATTCTTTCTTCAAAGTGGTGATTTTATCTTCTTTCCTTTTGAGACTCTGGTGATATTTAACCGCATTATTCTGAATAACGGCCTTTAATTTCTCTGCTACATTTTCTCTTTCCTTGAATCCGTCTTCAGCTGAGTTAAGGATATTTTTGATTTCGGTGACGCAGTGCTCTTCCTTTAACTGTGTATGGAGATCTTCAACTTCTTTTTGAGCAGCCTTTAACACTTCCTCCTTCTCGCGCAAGCTGCTTTCCAGTTTCAAAATTGTATCTCTTGCAAGAACAATTTCTGAACTTTGTATTTGTCTAGCTTGTGTCTCTTCAATCAATTTTGTATTGCATTCTTCAAACAGTTCCTCCAATTCACCCTTTTTCTGCATGATATCTTTATTTGCATCTAACACTTCCGCAATTCTTTCTTCCTTGTCATTCAATGCTTTTGTCAGAAAACAAATCTCTTCCTTTCTCAATGTTAAGCTTGTCTCCAAAGATTCTTTCACTGACCGGAACTCACTTGTTGCTGTTTCAAGCAAACGCTCAAGTTTTTGTATTTCGTTTTCTTTCCACATAATTCTTTCATCGAAGGATCTTTTCGCATCTTTCACAAGTTCATCCTTTATTGCCATTGCTTCTCTCCAACATTGCTCACGTTTTTCCATTTCAAGTTTATGATCATTAAGGGTTTTGTCGAGTTTTTGTTGCAGCTCTTCGACTTCTTGTTGCTTCAAGGTTAGCGCACTTGCCAACGACCTTTCCAAGGCATCTTTTTCATTTCTTCCTGTCATATATTTTTCGTTCAGAACTTCTAGTTCTTCGGAAAGGTGTTCTAATTCCGCATCAAGTTTATGTTCTTGTTGCTTTGCATTTTCTAACAACCTACTTAAACTTGCAACGTCGTTTTCTCGCTCATCTAAACTTATCTTAAGCTGTTTATTTTCGTTGTGCGACTCCTCATAGTTGCTTCTCAAATTGGTTATCGTCGCTGCAGTGGATTCCTCTTTGATAATTCTGTGCTCAATTTCCATAGCAAATTTCTTTTCAGTGATGTTCAATTTTTCTTTCAACAAGTTCTGCTCTTTATCTTTGTCCAGTAAAGCCAGTTCCAAGTTCTTTTGAGTTTGAAGAGCGTCAGAATTTTCTTCTCGTAGTTGGCGAATCAGGGTTTCCAGATTTTGTCTAATTGATTCCAGTGATTCAACTTTACACTCGAACTCACACAACGCGTTGCTTTTCCTCTCTAAATCTTCCTTAAGACGTTTTTCTTCCTTTTCAAGGAAGTTCCTCTCTCCTTCAATTAATTTCATTGACGATTTCCAGCTGTCAAGATCACGAGTCAAAGAATCAAAGTCTTGTTGCAACATTTGTTTCTTTTGCGCTTCGCTTTCACATTTCTTCTGGATGTCATTGAGTTGGCTTTCCTTAACACGAATGTCTTTTACTAACTCTGTGACATCCTTTTCCAGTATTCCTTTTTCTGCCTTCATGTCAGCCATCTTTTTCAATAAAGAAGTCAACTTTGTACTGAGATCTTCTTTGTTTCCTTTTTCCAACCATTCGCTTGTTAACTGAGTCTCCACCCACGCTAACTTAGCTGACATTTCTTCGATTTGCTTATCTTTCTCCCTTAGCATCATCTCGTGACGTTTGGTTTGTTCTTTTATCAGCTTTTCCAACGACATCAATTCGCTTTCTTTGTGATCTAATAACCTCTGTTGTTGTCCTTGTAGTTCCATCATTTCTTGCCTTCTCGTTTCTGAGGCCACGCGCAAAACCTCGGTTAGTTTATTTCGTTCTTCTTCGTTAGCTTTCATGATATTCTGTAAATTTTGCACGGTTACGTGTATCTGCTCGATTTCTGATTGTTTTTCGGCTAACTCCTCTTCCATGCGTAAAATTTCTTTCTCGTGGCGTTTATTTTCTTCTTCTTTAGCCTTTAGTTCGTTAATTGACGATTCCTTTAACATTGCGATCTGCCTCTCCTTTTCCTCAACCACACTATCAAAAGCAATCTTCGTATTTTCACTGTCATTGTCTTTTTCGTCTATGACCGCTGATAACAGTGCTTGTAGCTTCTCTATCTGCTGCTCCAGAAGTTTAATGCTTTCTTCGCTCGACTTTTTTACAGTTTCAATCTCTATTTCTTTGTCTGCCACCCTCCTCTGGTAAGAATTTAAAACCTCTCTGCCCTGTGCATTAGACTTTTTAGCTTCTTCCAGCCAGATTCTTAGTCTCGTTACTTCCGCGTCTTTTGCTCGGAGTTTACTTTCGGTGGATTTTTCAGCAGAAGCAACGATCTCGTCTTTAGTTCTTGTCAGCTCATCCAAAGTTCTTCTTAGTTCTGAAATCTCGCCGTTTCTGGCATCTAGCACATTTTCGTACGACAATCTCAATTCTTCGACCTCAATGTTTCTCGATCTTACGGCATCCTTTAAAGCTGCTTCAAGACTTGCAATCTCACTCACCTTAGTTTTATATTCCTCCTGCCAGTAGGTTCTGACCTCCATCAGCTCTTTCTCTTTCTCATCGAAGGCAACTCTTGTAGATCTAGGTGACATTTCAGAAACGGTTTTCATTTTCTTTTCACTTCGAGGGAAACAGCCAAGTTGTTTATCAACTTCAAATCGGCCATTTACTCTTGGACTGGAAGCCATTTAAAATGAATCGTTAGGAGATTTTTCCTACTTTTGACCGATAACTTTAACCATGACAGGAAGAATTTGGCCCTAAATTAATTTGGAATCTACTGATGCGTTTGTGACGTCATAAAGTTTGCGCGCTCGCGCAAGGTTTGTTATTTCTTTTTAGAATTTCTGACGAGCATTTTAGAGGTATTCTAACATGTAAGTTTCGTTCTACAGCAAGCTAGACTATTTACCGTAAGCGCAATACTGAGCCGAACCAGATGCTCCCTTCTTTCCCAGATGATGGTTTTATTTATGGCTGGTTGACATTTTGCTGTTCTCTTTTCATCTTACGTCTTCACTTTTTAAGTTAAGACAAAAGCATTTACAACCATTTATTTTGTTTTCAATCGTTATAAACGTTAATTCCATCACGTTATTTGTTCAAACATTAGAGAGATAAAAATATCACGATTACGGCAAAAGGAAAACGCCAGATTCGAATAGGAAATGAGCAGAAAACATGTGCTCAAAGTAATTTTCTGGATGAAACCAGGTTTTTGGTTTTGCCGTGAGATTATTGGTTTTGCCGTGAGGTTTTTGGTTTTGCGTGACAGTTGTGGGCCACCGTAATACGAAACTGGCATAAAGCTACTTATTTCTGTGTGGATATGATGCCCAGTAACCGACAACAAAAAAAGTTTGAAATAGAGAGAATTAGAATTAGATTTAATACAAACGGCAAACGTCAGTTCATACCACGTGACATTAGCCATATTCTTGACAAGCTGCCTGGACTGAATAAAAATTTTCATCCACGACGCTTCCTTGGCATGAGCGCAGCCTGTGTAGCTGGCTTGATCAGCGGGCGAGTGCTGTAGTATATTTTTTTTCCGCGGCGGAGCCTCAAGAGGATTGGGACCAGGAGCCCACTTATGGGTTAGGGTTATGAACTTATGGGCTTCTGTTGGGACCAAGTCAAATTGTGTTTACAATATTGGACACAAGAGAAGTGATTTCTTTCATTTTTATACTGAAAACTCCAAGAACAATTGCCTGTTTGTTGCACGCGAAACGCGTTGTTTATGATTTGTTTCTTTGGAGCAACCAAAATTTCAAAGGAGATTTCTCAAAAACACTCTCATAAAAATGGTTTAAAATCAGCACAACGCAAGACAGTTATAAGAATTTCCAGTCCTATGAGCAGCTTCAAAAACGAATGTCTAAATTTCTCACAAATTGAGGAAAAGTAAAAATGGCATTTTTTTTCAGGCCTGCTTTGAGTACAAACAAAACGGATTCCGAGGCTAAAATTACTAGTAGTGGCTTTTTCTTTCATTGTTGGAAGTTAAAGCTTGAAATTTACTGAGTATAAACAACTGATTATGATTTTGTTTGTTTACAAATACCTCTAGGGAATTTTTTCATTTGTTTGTCTCTTTTTTTTTAAATACATTTCTAGTATTTCTCCTTGTAATGCACCCACCTAGTATATATAGACACCCACCATCCTATTTGGTACAGAACAGTACAGAACACTACAACAGTTTGAACTACCAACTCTCTTTTGACATTTTTTAAATTCTCCAGTAGAACTCATTCATTATTTTTGACAACTTTGTCATAATTCAGTCCTGACACAAAATCCTTTTGCTTTGCTAAAAAGCAACAAAAGGCAGGTAGCATCTCCACATCAATGAAATTTTCTTCCCTTTGTATGTACGTAAACCTGCCAACTTTTTTTAATCTATAGATATGACACGTTTATCCTGAGAGTGCCAGGATTTTTCATAGGAGTGCAATAATATCCAAAGATGTCTGAAGACATTCCAAAGACGTTCTGAAGAGTTCGATCAGTCTAACACAAACACGGGAAAACGAAGGAGCATGACCTCATCTCCATTAACTTTCCCTACTAAAATGAGACAATTCAGAGAACGTCTATCATTTACCTGGACTTTTCTTTTCTCTCATTGCTTCCAATTTCTTTAAATTATTAATATATTAATGTTTTCAAAATGTGTCAGTTAATGCTGTAATGGCTCAAACATTTCTACCAGGCATGAGAAATTGGAACACAGTGGTAAGTAGGTGTAAGATTGAAGTTTTCGATCCGTAAGCAATCACGCCTGACACTTGGCAGGTATAATTGTCTAGTATACTCACCAGGGTTGAACTGCAAATGATAATCATATCCAAATTATAACTACACTTCATGAAGTACAAATATCACATTTCTCTGGAGGAGTTATGGTAATAAGGCCACTTGCTTCTTCCCAGATGGCCAGATTGCACGATTTTGTGGTTGGTCAAGTTCACATAATTGAAGGTTTGATTCAATCTTGTTGAGCAGGAACATCGGGATCCATTGCAAATCCTCTGTGCCCTGTCACGATAAGGTCATTGGTAATATTTCTGTGTGGAAGGTTGTTACAAAAGAAGGCACACAGCTGTATAGCTGTTCCCACACTATGGATTTAGCTACTCCCACTATAGTCACCATAGAATACCTCAGCTGCCTACATCAGGTTTACCATGTCCAGGAAGCCATTTGAACTGAAGCAATTCTGATTTATTTACATAACATATTCATTATTGTTGATGGTGTAGATAACATACACAGCAAATGTTGTGGCTTGGTGGATCTAGCGGTTCCTCCTGTTGACTGTCCTATACAAACTTTCAAAATTTCCAAACACTCCAGGCCATAAACATAATGAGCATGGCCCGGGGGGGGCACTTGGGTATTTTTTGGGTGGGTATGTGCCGCCCGGGACTCCAAATTGGCACCCCTTTCTAGAAAAAATTTCCCCTAAAATTGATACCCCGTTCTAGAAATAGGCCAATTTTTTATACCCCGTTCTAGAATTCGCCCTAAAACTAACACCCCGTTCTAGAAATGGGCCAATTTTTTTTTTTATCTACAACGGTTTGCTTCTTAACGCACTGAACCGTACTTTAAAAGCAATCTGTCCTTGAATGCTTTCAAATGGCTACTTACAAAAGTGGAGAGCTTTCGTGCGTTCGAAAGATTATACCCCGTTCTAGAAACCGCGTCTGAAATGGATAGCCCGTTCTAAACCAGGAGCTTCAAAATCACGACCCCTTTGGGCGGCACATACCCGTATAGGTAATGTATGGGAGTACCCCCCGGGGAGCATGGCGTCCCTGTGTTTTGGATAGCAGTTCCTCTTGCCATTGGAACCACTTTAAAGTTGCTTATATACGGTAAATGAGTAGATGGCTTCTTCACTACTGTGAACACCGTAGACACTGAGTAAACTGTAGACATCCCCCCCACCCCGATCAGTATTTTTGTGTAAAATTCCACATTCCACATGCCTCTACAAACCTTTTGATCAGTGGTGTTTTTAGCGAAAAAGATTTCCTTCATGTATAGGGGCACGTAACGTATCCAACAAACTTCTTCTCCAGTCCCCTCTCTTCAGCAAAATCTAACATGGCGTCCATACGACGATCCATGTTGGGGTTTACTGCGCCTCTTGACACTTTTTCAATGCTCACCATATTTGTATGAGAAAAGTGTGGAGACTTTTCTTTCTTAGGTCTTCTCAGGCACAATATAAACAAGATTATCAAAGTGAAATTTTGAAATGATGTGGGAACAGCTGTGGGGTTGATCCTTGATCAGACAAAGGCACAGTCAATTTATACGCCCGAGTCTACGTATCTCGTGGAATTAAGAATGTTTGCGTTGTTGTCCGGGCTATGGAAATACCTTTTTCAGAAAGACGAATACTGCATTCTTATTCTTGGCTTGGACAATGCAGGGAAATCGGTAGGTTGAGCCGGTTTTATTTTTAGCTTAACAATAACTTACGTGCCTCTGTGTGGTGGGTACGATCCAGTCAGCCAATTTTTTCGGAAATTACGTAGCTTTGAAGATGGACCACTTCTCTCGATCGGTTGGATCAGCCTTTTTGGAAATTTAATACTGGTACATGTGACCATTCCATGTCGAGAACACTTATATCATACCCTTCCTATATATCTATTGTGTCGTGCAAGGAAAGGAGGACTTGCTGCATTTTTTTAGCAGATCACATGTAAAAATATCAGAATCTGGAAGTCTGGAAGTCTGATTACAGGGGCACCTAACGACAATTTTCGGAAAATATCTGTTCGGAAGACGATTTGAGATCTAGAATTTTCGGAACATTTTTTCCAAAATTTCTTGCTTGCTTGCCTCTCCTAGGATTTTCGAACATCTAAAAAATGGTATAATTGCCCATTTTTAACGGATTTTTACCTCATAAAGGTCACCTACAATCTTCGGGAGCCTTTTTTCTGGCTGAAATTTTCGTAAAGGTAAGTTTTGATCCCTATAATTTTCGAATCACTAGACTTTAAGCTAGGAAATCCGAACAGATGAAAAATTTTTAGGGGATAAAAATATGCCTATACCTAGCATTTTCACATGTTTTTATCCAATAGTGCCTACTGTTTTAATACTAAAATATGTTTAACAATGCTATATTCAAGTGGTTTTGAACTATATTCTCGTTGGGTGCCCCTGTAATTAGTCCAGAAACAATACATCTGACACCGTTTTGCTCTGATCGGCTGAAGATTAGGTTTGACATCCTCATGGACTGTAATTTTTGCAATTTTTATCACGTTTGAGAGAAACATAACCGAATTAATGACCAAATTTTCCCTGGCTTTTGTTTTCCTTTTTTCCGTTTGTGGCTGATAATAATATTGAAGATGAAATGATGAACTTATGAATTTAAATAAATAATGATTTTAATAGAGATAGCACTTCCCCTCGGTGGTTCTTTGTCTACCTGATTCCTGGTTGACTTGAAATTTGGAAATGTTGGTGTTTGGGGATAGGGGACAACTGGAGTACCTGGGGAAAATCCTCTCAGAGCAAACAAGAGAATCAACAACAAACTTAACCCACATGACACATGGCGTCGATGCCGAGATCTGAACTAGGATGCAAAGAAAGTCAGCTTTACAGCCTGCCATTGGGGCAGGCTGTAGCTAGCATGTACTAGCCCACAAGTCATTTTAACTAGCCCCAAAACCCCTTTTTATTAGCAGGATTGATTACAGTCCTTCCGTAATTTTGATTTTCCCCCAAAACAGCACTTGCCCGTCAGGCAAGTTGAGAACAAAAATCACTAGCGCGATAGCGAAATCCACAGCCCCAGGCTATCAGACACGACTTTCTTTGCACGCTGTCAACCCTGGCCACATAGGTGGTAGGTGAGTGCTGTCACCACTGCACCACCCCTGCCCCCCAATTTCATATCTTTGAATGGTGGAATGAAGAAATGAATAAAAAGAAGATCATTCCATCGAAAGATGCAACTTGTGCAGTTGCCAAAAGAAAGCCTGAAAAAATTCAGGCTTGCTGGGATTGGAACCCTGACCTCTGCGATACCTTTGAATTGAAGCTCTGGCTGATATTATTACTCCATCACAGAATTAAGCTTGTGCTCTTTTTTCAAAGAAATGGTCACTGAAAATAGCTGTTGTTTTCATTTCCTGAGTACAAAGAGCAGATGTTTTTTTTGTACCAGGATGACAGGTCAACCAGCTCATGTTAATTTATTTTAACCCATTCGCTCCTGGAGATTTTGCCGAAAAACGCGTTTTGAAGCTAGTCGAGTGGTTTTCTGGTCACTGTCGTGCTATAAAGAGCTAAAACTTACCACAAACCGGTTTACAGGTCGTACACTTGGCGGCCTTCTGATCCAGATGCAAAATATCAGCTTGCGAAGTTCGGGCATGCGCAGAAAGCAAAATTTCGAGATAGTTTTTGGGTTTAAAAGTGACACAGCAGTCTTGACTTTTACTTTTCGCTTTCTCTCCTCCCTTCTTTTTTCGCTTTTCTTGCCTCATTTTTTTTTTCTCTTGCTGGGCATTTAGTAGGCTTCATTTTGGTGGGAAGAGTTTTTAGGAAAGCTTTTAGGATCTTAGGATTAGGTGAAAGGAAAGGTAGGTGGGTAATGGAACAAGATTTTCATGGAGATTTTCAGGTCCTTGTCACGTGGTTTTTTGCTTCTTTCTCCGGTGTCCTTGACTGAATTGTGCTCATTCTGGTATGGTTTGAAAGATCTCTTCACTCTGCACAAGTTAGCGAAGAAAGTTGTCCTTGACCGTTAAAACTGATGACGTCACAAAGGGTAGAAAGGACCTGGATCCGCACGGGCGGTTACGGGCGGTTCAGGGGCGAATGGGTTAAAGCAGGGTCAGTTGGTGGCTTGAGAAAAAAAATGTATGAAGCGTTCTTTTCCCCCTCTTTTCTTAAAAATCATTTAAAAGAAGCCTGATCTCAGGTTATTCCATATATTTCAGTAAGGACATGGATCAGCATGTCTACATTATCCAAAAGTCCTTCATTTGGATTAGCTAACTTCAACAGGTGGTGGTGGTCCCTAAAAATAGTAATAAATTTCTAGTCTCACAAATAGAATGGGTTTTTGTGTACCCCACACGTTGTAGCCTCTGTTTATTAAAACTTATTAATGCTATACAGTTCCAGCTGTACAGCTGTAGCCGTCGCAGTTTAATGTGACAGTATCCTTGAGATATGTCCAGAAATGTATACAAAAATGAAAATAGCAAATTTGGTGAAAATTCACCAAAGGTTTGATGAAAATTCACGAGATGGATTCACTATTTTCATCAACTTTGCCACTTTACAAGTAGAACCTTTTGAGACCTTAGCTAGATTTTTGCAAACCCTCTGGCAATGTTTTACCAGATTTGCCATTTTCGCATTATTTGTTTTTCTGGACAGAAGTGGTATCCTAATGGTTTAATTTAATTTTCAACGTTTGTATTATTATGGCAGTAAAAACGTCTGGATGCCCATATTATTATTATTATTATTATTATTATTATTATTATTATTATTATTGTCTCTATTATCACAGTCTTTGCTGGTGTTCTTTTTTTTGCATCAGCCGGGCGCAAACCATGCACCTAGAGCGTCAGTCACTCAGGTCAATCATTATTATTATTATTATTATTATTACTATTATTATTATTATTATTTATTTATTTATTTATTTATTTATTTCAGACTCTTCTGGAACAGATAAAACGAAGGTACGGAAACAACTACAGTGGCCTCCCATTTGAGAAAATAAAAACAACAATTGGACTAAATAGTAAGTTGAATACTATTTCTAGTTCTTTCACAGCTGAGAAGGTACTGTAACTATATGCCTGGTGTGCAGCTGAACGTTCCCACAATGGCCACCTTAGGGACAGACATAGATGTCAGTGGTAGTTGTACTAGTAGCCTGCAAACGGTACATACTGTAAAATTCCGAAAATAAGCCCCGGGCTTATATTTTTCAAAGGCCCTTTTTGAGGGGTTTATTTTTGGAGGGGCTTATCTACAGAGGAACATTTGCGTTTCAAAATCGATTGGGCTACCCTTATAGTTGGAAGGAAATTTGCTGTTTTTGCTTTGTTTTACTTTGAATTTGAGGGCAATTTTCCAAGTACAGGATCCAAAGTTTAATTGAAAAATCTTGTCAAAATCCTTAAGACACGTCAGCTTGCAAGGTCACGAGGAGACACTCGGGCTTTCCTTTTATCCTGATTGGTCGACAACAAAACAAAAGGTTTATGTCACAGAAATTGTTTGGCGGCTCGGGTTTGCAGACATTATTTTTCAGTTGGAGAGTAGCGACGTCCCGAAATATGTCTGTGTTTGCAGGCTATAGTTGTAAAAAGTGGCCACTGTAAAGATGTTAAAACAAGTGCAAAAACATCTGCTGGAACAAACACAAGACCACTGTGGAAACTTGGAGAGGTTCAACTGTACCATCTGTCTACAATATTTTTGATTGCTGTTTTAAAGTTCATTGTTGCCTGTTGACTTTTCATGTACACAGCCCTGGAAAAAAATGACACACATAAATACTCTACAGCTGTAGATGCATTTGATTAAAACTTGAAAAAGGTAAAAAGGCATCTATTGAGTAATTCTGATGTTAATCCTACATCTATTCTTAAAGTACGTGTAAAAGAAAAATCAATTTAAAATAAGCCCAACAATTTATATTTTCTTTATTATTTTATGCAAACTTTTTAGTACAATTTTGTTTACTTTCAATTGGGAGTGCTCATAATGTGAAAGAAATTTGTGAGTATAAGATGCCTTGAATGATTTGCTCACATTTATTATCTGAAGAAAAATTGTTCTGATTTCAATAACTTGCTCAGCTTGCAAAGAAAGTCGTGTGGGATAGCCCAGGGCTAGTTGATTTTGCTGTCGGGCTAGTGATTTTTGTTCTTAAGTTGCCCGACGGGCAAGAGCTGTTTTGGGGGAAATTCAAATTACAGAAGGATTGTAATCCATCCTGATAATCAAAAAGGGTTTTCAGGCTAGTTGAAATGACTTGTGGGCTAGTACGTTCTAGCTACAGCTTGCCCGAATGGCAGGCTGTAAAACTGACTTTCTTTGCACCCTTTTGCTGCAAAGATAGACAAAAACATAACTAGATTTAACTTATATGTACTTTTCTGGACATGTATGCTGTTCCTTTTTATTAAAAAATTCATTTAATGAGTATTGATTTTTTTTTTCTGCAGTTGGGAAGATTAGTATGAGCCATGTGAAGTTGATATTTTGGGATTTGGGCGGTCAGCAAGAGCTTCGATCCTTATGGGATAAGGTATGGTTCTTAACTAACAATCATAATACTATAATTACTTAATGACTTGAAAAAGAATACCATTTAAAAGTAGAATCATTTACATGTACAGTTGACTCTCTCTAAACATATTTGTCATTCAGATCAGAGGTACATTTATTTCTGTATTTCTCAATTTCTGCCCTAGCGAATAAAGGATGCATGAATTGGCATTATAAACAAAATGAACTAGCCAGCTGTGTTACAGCCCTTTTAACTACAGTACAAAAGTTGTTGTCCTTTGAGGATCTTATTCCAATAACATTTATTTTTTTCAGTATTATGAAGAGTGTCATGGTGTTATTTATGTTGTTGACTCTTCTGATCAAAGGCGAATGGAAGAGTCTCATCAGTCTTTCAGTAAGTAACAGCCCAGATTATACATCAGACCCCTACAAAATAGTTAAGCAGTAAAACGGGCAACAGAAAACATGCAGCTTGTTTTGCAACATTGCTGCAAAATGAGTTGAATAGCGATGTTGTGCATTTTACCACTGATGTTCAAACCTGTCTTGCAACAAATAAGGTTGCGAGGTATTTTTTGGGCGGTGGTAAAATGTGCAACTTTGCTATTCAACTCATTTTGCAGCAATGTTGCAAAACAAGTTGCACTTGTTTTGTTGTCCATTTTACTAAGGTAATTCCCTAGTTTTGTGCTGTGCATCACCTAAGTGGGCATATCATTGCAACTTCAAAGGGAGCGGTGATTTTCACCGGTTGCCTAAAAAGAGGTAATTATTGCCCCTTTTCTAGTCCAAATGCTTTTATAGCGATTTTGATAATTCTACCCGGCTAAAAAGGTGTTTTTGTTGAAACTCGCCCAAGTCCCCTCTCCGAGACAAACAAACATGCTTAAGCTTTTGGTAAGATACGCAGCTTTTGCCATAAAATACGATTTTTTGACAAAAATTATTGTTTCAGTTTTGAACATTTTGCTCACAACTAGGAAAAACCACTCAGAATTATGGGGAAACAGGGCAAAAACAAGCATGGTGACCCCATCTTTTTATTTTTGTTTTTGAATGTACTATAAATGGCTGGCATTTGTGCCAAGTTTGAAAAACATCTGGATATGACATCATTTCCAAGGGCATTACCTTTAGTTGCATTCAAGTTTGCTTATTTCCTAAATTATTGTCCCTTGTTGTTGATTCTTGAGATCAGTCTTAAATCAGTTAAGGGATCTATGGTAGTATTCTACAGTGTATGGTATTATTTTCTGTTTTTACAGACAGTGTTGTTCATGATCCTCATCTGGAAGGCATTCCATTGTTGATTCTTGCCAACAAACAAGATATTCAGGTGTATTTGAAAAATGTTATTGAATTGCATAGTTAGTCAAGAATACTGGGGCTAAATTAAAAGCATGGTCGTTTTTTTTTTATAAAACTTAATTACACTAATTTAAAAAATTGCAAATAATGTCACATGCAAGCCTTCATGTTGTCTTTCAGGAAGCTTTGTTCTATCTCCAGTCTCATTAAGTAAAGGATTTAAAGCCAGGTTTTGAAGTTAATGTAATTATTATTCACTTTAAAGGATTCCCTTGGTGTGGAGGCAATAAAAAGTATATTTAATGACAATTCTCCAAACATTGGGCATCGGGATTATTATATTCAGCCAACTTCTGCTCTAAACGGGTGAGTTAAAAACTTGCAAGCCTAGATAATAGTAACTAAAAGTTCTCTTCTAATGCACTGCTCTGTTGGTGTTGATATCATCTCCATCTTGTATCATCTCTATGTTGATATTAGTCTGCTTGCAGCCGTTTTTAGTGTCATCACGCAATGCTCCTCCCCAGGCAGTTTATGGGGAATAGAGTTGGTTTTTCTAGGGGGGTCTCTGATCTCTGGGATTAGAGGCTCAACATTTGACAATTTGTGGACAACACTTCTAAAGTGTGTTTTCCCCCTCCTTGTTTGCCTGTCATGTCAGTTTTTAAAAGGTAGGATGATCAGATAGATGCCAGTGGCTGGTGTCAGTTCCAGTTGGTTGGGGCTGTGTGGGGGGGGGGGGGGGGCATTGCGTGACGACACTAAAAACGGCTGTGTAGCAGACTATGTTAGTATCCATGATATCCCTTGTCACCAGTGGCAGTTGATTGGGAATAGAGTTGGTTTTTCTAGTGAGGAGTCTGATCTCAGGGATTGGAGGATCAACATTTAACAATTTGTAGACAACACTTCTAAAGTGTTTTTTCCCCCTCCTTGTTTGCCTGTCATGTTGTTAAAGGTAGTATGGTCAGGCAGATGCCAGTGGCTGGTGTCAGTTCCAGTTGGTTGAGTGGGGGAGGTGGGGCCTTCACTCTTCGACCAAACAACAAAAAAATTAATGATCTGTCAAAAGGATACCTTGCACGACACAACACAAGAAGACAAGAACACCTCAAACAACTGAATGGGAGCTTTGTTTAAATATTCAAATAGAAAATGATTGGATCTGCATAAGTGGGCCAAGCCACAACCCCTTCAATTATGATATTAAATTGCCTGTAAGCATGCACTTTCAACTTTATCCTCCGGTCAGGGAAGTTTGCCAATGCGCTACAATCAATATATGTAGTTCCTCTCAAAATCTCAAGTGATACATGACCACCCACATTGAGGATGGTCTGCCTGTGGAAAAAGTAACTAGTAATTAAGCTTTTTTACCGGACAATTTTCGTGTGTCTTTTTCTAGAGATGGAATAAGTACTGGAATTGAATGGCTCGTGGAGACAGTTAAAACCAATCTGGATCGCCCACCACGACAGAAAGAAATCACATGACACTGAAGACTGTACCATGATACTGTACTGCGCGTGAACTGAGCTTTGAACTTCTTTTTAAAAAGTGCGCATCAGTATACATACTTGTAGATAACAAATGTACAAATGGCAAAATCCTCTTCATCGGGGAGGGTTTTTTTCTTAAAAAAAGATAATTTGAATCGTTGTAATTTTTGATAATGAGTACATCAAAGATTGAAATCGTGGGTTCAAGGAGGCCATTTTTATTTGGCACATTAGTCTGAGTCGGTTTTGTGTGTACCTGCACTAGGGATTGTTAAATTTGGGACGCTATCCCTTATTGCATTAGAGAGCTTTAGATTTGAGGACGAGAACGACGAGTACGAGTACGAGCTTTAACTTAAAGTTTCTTTACGAGTGTTTTCAAAAAAAGACAGCCCGGAAAGCAAGAAAGTTAGTACGATTATTTATACTGATGAAGGTTAAGCTCTCTCCCGATAGCAAAGTGATAAAACCTCTTTCATTTTACAAATTGTTCCCTCCACTACCGTCGACATTCTCGCTAAAACTCGTAGTAGAATGACGACGGCTATCACGTTTTCCCGACAAAATGACGCTGGTTCATGCGTGAGCAATTCTCAGTACTGAGAAACTCTCGTACTCGTAGTCGTCCTCGTCTCAGAATCTAAAGCTCTCTATTGTCTATTGGAACATCATCATCCTCAGAACGATGTCATGGTGCAACACCGATGCAACACTGACCCAGTCTCACACGCAACCTCAAACTGCTGTGCAGCTGTTCTATTGTATTTTTGAAGCGCACACAGATTGTAAAATAAAATTAGGATAATTAAGTGTGCGTGCAATCTAAAATGCAAAAGTTGCATGTTTTAGTCGATATGTAATTATTAAAATAATATGCTTCTTGGGAAAAAATGAAAAATTAGTGTATATTGGTAAATAAAAATTTACAAATAGAAAACTTGGCTAGACGTTTTTTCTTTTCTCAAAACTTGTTTCTTAATATTCCGTCCTGTCTATCAAGTGTATAACTATTTAGTTTAAGAGTTACGTGGTTTTATGTAGCAAAGTTTATACGGATGGATCCAGTTCTTGAGTTTAACGGGGGCCTGCCCACCTAGACTGGCTTGAATTAAAGGGGACCCCTGGAAAAAAAAATAGCATTCTTGAAATGAGGGTGGTGGTGGGGAGGGGAGGGGTTCCCCTAGAACCTTCCTAATTAATGGAAAGGTAAGAAAAGACATGCAAACGCTTTGTCATTCACATAGATATGATTCCTATAAAGGCATTTAGTCATCTACTGAATATAAAACAAAGAGTTGGTTAAAGTTCTAACTTTCAAATTGTTATTAGTATTTGTTTCCCAGAATAGTACAATTTTGATAATTGACATAAAGGAGAATATTGAAATTTACAGCCTTCATATTGGATATGTTGCACAATGTTAAAATTTAAAGATTTCCACTTGCAAAATAATAATTAATGATACTTGTGAGCCATGAAAAGGACCATTCCTAATAAAAGGACAGAACAGTTTATTTGAATAGAATCTTCGTGAAAAGCAAAACTAGCAGAAACGGGAACGTAAAGAGCCAATTGAAAGAAGCCGCGAAACAAGAAACACAACCGTTCTAAGTGAGTTTAGCACCTTCCTCAAATTATCAAGTCTAAGGAGCAAAATTTTTTACGGTTAACTCTTTTTACCCTATTTACGGCTAACGGTTAAAATTTTTCAATTTTTACGGCTATCGACTAAATTTTGGGCCGTTTTACGCCTATCGGTTAATCCCATTGAGACCCTCATAGAAGATTTACTCGCACCTCTGAAGCCACCAGCTACAGCTGATCCCTCATACCGTCCATTACAGGGTACAACTGTACAGGGGCACCCAACGACAATTTTCGGCAAAATATCTGTTCGGAAGACGATTTGAGATCTAGCATTTTCGGAACAGTTGTTGTAAAATTTCTTGGTTGCCTGCTTCTCCTAGGATTTTCGAACATCTAAAATATGGTATAATTGCCTATTTTTAACGGATTTTTACCCTAAAAAGGTCATCTAGAATTTTCAGGAGCCTTTTTTCTGGCTGAAATTTTCGAAAAGGTAAGCTTCGATCCCTATAATTTTCGGATCACTAGACTTTCAGCTAGGAAATCCGAACAGATGAAAAATTTTTAGGGGATAAAAATATGCCTATATCTACCGTTTAAATACCAAAATACGTTTAACAATGCTATGTTTTAGTGGTTTTGAACTATATTCTCGTTGGGTGCCCCTGAACTGTACACAAGCTGAAGCTGTTGTTTTCTAATTTTCTAATCAAATTGTAAATAGTGTTTTCGCTGCCATACAGTTGGACCCCTCTACAACGGCCACCTTGGACGTACCTTGGAGGCAGACGAAAGTGGCCGTTGTACAGATCGAGTAGCGGAGTACCGTAAAGAGTCCGCAATGTATGGATTTTTTTGAAGAGGTCGCTAAATTTTCCCAGTAAACATCTCATGGTAGTCTCTCGCAGCCGCGTGACTCTAGCCTGCGATCATACCCTCTCCCTTTCAGGTCTTAAACAGAAGTGGCTCGGTGGCTCGCTAGTCACGACAAGTGTTTAAAGAACGAGAAAGATATAAGACATATATAAGACAGACATAGAAGGCATATACTTTAGTATGTATTATAGCAGATTATAGGTATATATTTTAGTGGCTCGGCGGCTCGGTGGCTCTTCAGTCGAGGTTATATAGTTTAGTGGCTCGACAGCTGGGTGGCTTGTTAGTCGGGACTACCGAGCCACCCAGCCACCCCAATGAATATACCTAGAAAATTTGCCCTGTATTCTGTAGTTAAGCCAAAAAAAAGAAAAGCCTGATCGTTAGCGTGACTCCGGCCCGAGCGGCTGCGTTACTGAGTGGCCAGGCGACCAAGCAAACCAGGCGACACATTAAATTCCTACCCAGTCTTCCTCTCGTTCTTTCCCGGCGACATGGATCATACAAAGTTGTGTTGTGGGATAAATTCATTTTAACCTTCTGACCATGGATTTGCCGACTTGTTTATACAAAAGGAAAGAGATATCCACCGGATTAGCTCTGTGCCGTCTTCATAGAAATCACGAAAACTTAACCACTCCTACCGAAGGGAATTCCGAATCTACTGCACGATGATATGGTAAGCTACCCTGCGCACAGAGTCTCCTTCGATCTACCTAGATAAGTCAGGAAAAGGAAGGAACCTTCCTCGTTCCCGACTTATCTAGGAAAGATCGAAGCGACTCTGCCAGCAGGGTAATGGTAAGCCAGATCGGTAATGGTTTTGCACATACAGTATTTTCTTTTGTGAGTATTGTCTTTATCTTCGAAAAGGAAAGTAGAAAGTAATTGATTCGGGAATTTAAAATCAATACTTTGACGATACAATACTTTGTTAGGAACGTTATATCAACAGATCGTCGGAAGATCCAATGATCGAAATTTTCTGACACCATCTTGAATTGTTCACGCGAGATATACTCGCGAGAACGCGAACTAAGAATTGTCACGTGATACTTGTTGGTGATTGTGATTGGTTATTTTGAGGAGCTTGCTCTTTGGCGGTTACCTCGAATTAACGATCGGCTTGCAGTCTCGTGAAGATGGCGGCTGAATCAGGCAGCCCGTTGAAGGTAAGGGTAATCGTTTTATTCGACCCAAGCGATTATTTTCAAAGGACTGAAGGGCAGTTGAATGTTAAAGCTGTAAAATATAAAAGATCGGGTGTTAGAAATGCACGTTTGATGGAGTTTTTTTTACCTTGGAGATGAGTTTGCTTTTGACACGATCGAGGAATACGTCTTAGGAATTCGTTTTTGTCCCAATATTTTACCGTTGTTTTTCGTTAAAGGGCCGCGATTGTTAACTTCTTTGGTAGATAACCGACCAAAGCAAAGATCGAAGCCAGTGACTACGCAGGAAAAGGATAGCTAATCGTGTTAAAAGCTCTTTCCTATTTTCCCGCCATTTTGAATCGCTCGCATCTATCACTGCATTTGCTTTTGCAAGCTCATCTATAAAGGAAGACTAGTAGGGATTGGTGCTTAGAAATGCGCGGTTTATGTCTAAGAATGTATGTGTTTTAATTGTGGTGTAACTTTCCGATCGTAATTTGCATCATTGATTGGCAAAAGTTAATTCATTCCAATACTTCCATGTGTACATTTATATGATATCCTGAAAATGGCCCAGTTTGTTGCTCTGTGTATTTTTTTTTAAAATAAACAAGAACATCTAGATCTTCGCCGCAATACCATGTGCCAGTACAACAGCCAAAGACTAATCTGTTCCAAATAATAATGATCAGCTAAATTATAAATGGAGCCTGGTATCTTGCTTGAAAAACCCATTATAAACAATAGTCACTGGTTCATCAACCTTTAACTAAACGTTTCCTTGCTTTTTCTGGCCAGTTTTAATGGCTTGAAGGTCAAAAGAATTTGGGTTCAGGATAAATGGATCGTTTCTTCGGTTTGTCCCTATGAAAATTCCCAAAAAAATGGAAAATCTGGTCCCAAATAATTGTGATCAGCTAAATTGTAGGTTCCATTGACGTTTCTGGTATCTACCAGTTGATGGCGGTCGGGCAAAACCCATTGTAACTGCACAAATAGAACAACTTTTTGGTTCATCAAAATTATACTTTTAACCCCTTTTTTCTCTTGTTTTGAGCCGTAAATGGAAAGCAGATAAGATTATTGTGAAATTTGAATGCTCAATCTTAGTGCAGTGACTGCTTCCCTGATTCTACTGTTTCCTTCATATGTTACAGTTTCTGATGAGATAAGTTTAATTTGCATTAGACCATGTAACATTTAAGCAATAGAAAACGTTTTTTGTGTTTGCATAGCCTGATATAAACACAAGAGGGCTTGGGAGACTTCAAGACAGTTACGCAAACCCTTGACTTCATCTCGGTTTGCATAACTTTCACACCTGTACCACTTCTGTGAGCTTGGATAATCTGGAAATTCTTCTATGCTGTTTCTAATTTAAAGTACTCAAAAACATTTCTTGCAGGAGATAATGAATGGAGAAAATGCTGGTAGCAATGCATTTGCAACAAAGAAAAAGAAGCGAATGTCGGTGGAAAGAATCTACCAGAAGAAAACTCAACTGGAACATATTCTGTTACGTCCTGACACATACGTTGGTTCTGTTGAGCCAATTAAACAAAGCATGTGGGTTTATGACGAACAGCTGTCAGCTATTGTTAGTAAGGAGATAACATATGTGCCTGGTCTATACAAGATTTTTGATGAACTGTTAGGTAAGTGACCTATCAATAGTTAACAATAATTATTATTGAATGAGGCCGAGTATCATCTGAAGAATTATGAAGATCTCTGAGGGTGTTATGCATGGCCGAGGTGGATAAAACCCTCTTCAATGTCCATAATTCTTCAGATGATACGAAAATCTGAAATCAATAATTGTTTTATTATTCATTCAAAATAATTCCAAGTTTAAAAACAAGCTAAAACGTGCTTTCCTCCATTGATGTTAATTTCTTCGTCAATAGTGCATGCTTTTTGGCAAATGTAGGACATAAAGGGGTGTTCAGGTCTGCAAATATTCTCCAAATAGCAGATGTTGTCTGTCAAGTTGTGTTCTTTTTGTTCTTGCTATCTCTTTAGCCAACAGTTCACCTACTTCGTCTTCCTATTAGTGAAATGTTCCGCCATTTTCTAGTCACTACCAAAACAACTCAACCTCATCCCCAGGTCTTCTCACTTAATAGGTTAAATAATCTGGCAATTTTGCTGCACGATGGACATCATTTTTCACATAATATTATTGCAAAATCCTTCCAGATTTGGTCAAAAATAGCTGGTTCTGATAAATTATGCATGGACTTTTAGCCAATCAGAAATGGAGAAATATTCGGAATGAATAATAATGCTAAGAATGGGGCTAGGAGTTTGTTTTAATCTTGATTATTTTGTCCTTAAAATACTTCGGATTGTGCTTATAACAGTCCTGTGGTCTCATGTAACTAGTCCTGTACACTGTACACAGGCTGTAGCTAGTGATACGTGTACATTGCATTTGTTAGTTGTAGTTCAATGCCTTGTTTAAATTAAATTTTCACGCATTACCTACAATCACAGACAAAATTAGTTGGGAAGGTTGTACAACTTAACAGTAGTCCATTTTAATCCTGAAATAAGAGAGTTTTCTCTTTTGCTAAATATCCCCCGTCCTCCCTATTCAATGTTGGGATATAACAGAACAATTGCCCGCACAAACATTAACGTTTTGATCAACATTGGGCCAGGGGTGGGGGGAGGAAGAAAAAGGAGAGGTAAAAAAGGCAACCTTCCCAACACTTTGGATGATGATTGTAGGTCCACTGTATTTACATTTATTTATTTGTTTCAGTCAATGCTGCTGATAACAAGCAGAGGGATCCCGCCATGGGATGCATTAAAATCACCGTTGATGCGTAAGTGAAGTGTTGAGCTGTGGTGGTATTTTTAACATAAAGTCAGATTACAGCAGCACAATCTAGTTCATCACAAAAAAATTAATACAACAGTTCTATTATTTCTGCAGGCAAAGGTTTAAGCAGACTGAAAAAAATTACCACTGTACTGCAAAAAAAATTACTACTGAGACATGACTGACTGATTAATTTACATTGTACTGTACTTCTTTTCCAGCACATTTTTGCTGTGCAACTTTTCGCAGTATCCAGATACATTGTTCATGTGCAAGAGAGAAAAACTTGTGGATGAAAAATAATGTAATCTGCCGATAATAACATGTACATCAGGGCTCGACGTTGCGACCTGTGGGGTCGTCAATGCGACCAGCTTTTACACTGTGGCGACCAAATTTTCACGCCTTGTCGCTTACCTGGCCCCCAAGATAGGTGACTCTCGTCTTTGGGAAAACGTGCACTAATGATAATCCGTTATCCTTCAGAAAACTAAATCCATTAATTCTTAAATATAATTTTTGGTGACCAGAATACTTGTTCTGGCGACAAAAAATGAAAACTTGGGGGCCAGCTGGCCCCACTATTTTTTTCTGAAAGTCGAGCACTGTACATTGTAACAAGGATGTTAAAAATTATTGTCTCTTATAGCAAGTTAGAGTCTAGCTGCATTGTTTATCAAAACTGTGTTCTAAGGCATTTTTATTCTACTTAATGTTTTGATCTAGGCACCATTCATCATGAACAGTAACTTTCTTGAAAGCAGACAGCGTAGCCCATAAAGGCACTTTTCTTCTTAAAATTACCCACTTAGAAAAAGATCTGGAGGTCCAATGACTTCTTATACCACGGCCTAAGTTAGTCTTTGTTCAAATAACCGACTGTTAGTATCTTTGATAATGCAGCTTCTTTTGTGAAGTATTTGGTTCTGGTTATTAAGTTTTTGCTTTTCACTTAAATGTAGTGAAAACAATACAATCAGTGTTTGGAATGATGGACGGGGTATTCCAGTTGAGATGCACAAGGAGCAGAAAGTTTATGTACCCACATTAATTTTTGGCCATCTTCTGACTTCTTCTAACTATAATGATGATGAAAAGAAAGTAACTGGCGGACGCAATGGCTATGGTGCGAAGCTCTGCAACATATTCAGTACAAAGTTTGTTGTGGAGACATGCTCATCTGATTCTGGAAAAAAATTCAAGCAGGTACTATCATACATATATATTCAAGCAGGCATTATTATATACAGGTACAAGTACTTCTTCTAAACCTATGCATGGCTTTCAACAAGACCCTTTACCCATGGGTACATTTTCTGCTTCTGTGAATATTATATTATGAATCACTTCCTACAATGTAGAGTGCATAAGGACTATTATTATTCATTCAAAATATTTGGCTGTTTTGTGGCCTTATACCCACAGCTACAGTAGCACAAGATGTAGTTCTCCTAACCTGCTGAAGCTGAACAAATTTAGAAGTTGCAGGCGATTACAATCATTGATACCACACAAGAGAAGCTTACATGTAGGCCTGTTTCAAAGGTGCTTCTTCTGTGCTGAACTCAGTGTTCTCCTTATCAGGCGGTAACCGGTAAAATCTACCGTCTGAAGCAACACTTCTTACCGCCTGCAACCGCTTGAAGGTTTACTAAAATTGAATAAGTTGTTTTAAAAAATACGTAAGTTGTGATCTGATCCAATCAAGGTAATGCGAATACTAAACACAGTTTTGAGCATTGAAGACAAATTATTGGAATCAAACGTTTTTTTAGTGTTGTCTAAAAATAACAACGGCTGATTTACATAAAATAGGTCTTAAATGAGGGAATGACATGTCAGAGAACTTAGCCCCTAAATTTCACAGCAAGGTCAAAGCCATGTCCCCCACTCCACTACCTCCCCCCCAGGAAAGTAGCCTCATTCTATTGTCCCTTGCCTGAACAAAAATTTAGGGAGAACACTGTGAACTAAGTTGATCAAATTAAGCTTTACTTAAGCACAACAGCAGCACAACATCTAATACCAAGTCATGCCACTACCGTGTAGCCTCATTCTCTTGCCTTGCCTACAGGTACAGTCACATGTACTGCAGCTTTCTCTGACACCTCCTGCACATCAAAAGTTATTAAAGCCCTGTGCATGTATATAATGATATCCTGTAAAATGAATGTAAAAAATTGTTTTTTCACACACAACTGAGTGTACTGTATACATTTCATGCACAGGGTGTCAGCTTTTCTACTGTAATAATTTAAAAGTTCCATTCAGGATCTCTTTCAAACTAGCAACGCTTCAAACGTTAAATGAAGTGATACCAGTGAGTACTTAAGGATTATGTGTGGAAGTAGAAACAGTTGTACAAGTCTACCAAACTAATAATCAGAGTCGTTACATTTAAGGGTACTTTTGATTTTGTTTCGTCTACTTTTGATTTTAGACCTGGACTAATAACATGGGTAAAGCTGCAGAACCAATCGTGAAGGATTTTAGTGGCAAAGATTTCACCTGCATTACATTTAAACCTGATTTGGCCAAATTCAAGATGGAAAGTCTCGATAGCGACACTATCTCACTGCTGGCCAGGAGAGCATATGATGTTGCTGGCTCTGTCAGAGGGATTGCAGTTTATCTTAATGGAAAGAAACTACCAGTATGTTTGTAATTCATGTATTGAATGCTTGTGATTGATGCCATATCTGTACCTGCTTTGGGGCCCAATTGTTTGAAGGCTGATTAGCACTAACCTTTCTCTGTTATTCTTGGAGCATCCAGTCATCAAATTGTTGACAAAAAGAATTAAACTGTATTTTTTGTTAAGCTCTCTTATTGGAAGTTGCGTTTATTCCCTTCCGCGTGCTTTCCCGTCGTCAACCCAGTCTGTTTTTAAATCAGTGTAGTATACGAATGGCAGCTTATAATTTTAGCCACAGCAATGCAGGGTTGTCAAAAGTAGCCGGCTGCCAGCGAAAACTGCCACTTACTTGGTTAGTATCGGATGGCTACTCTGCTTGGAATAATAATGTATTTCTTTATAGATGGCATTAAATGCCATCTATAATCCCTGGACTGGCTTCTTACTTTGACAACTTAGCACTCTACATCAAAACTTTCTGACAACTCTGGCAGTGTGTAGTGGCTTACTGGACACTGCTGAATAGAACCACAATGTCATGTGCACTTGTCTATTTTCATTTTGTTCTGAATAGATCAAGTCTTTCAAAGATTATGTGGGACTTTATTTGAAAGCCAGAGATGATGAAGAAGAATTAGCTGATGATGAAGATAAGAAAAAGTCACCTAATTCTGTTGTACATGAGGTGGTAAACAAACGCTGGGAGGTTTGTGTCACAACAAGTACAAAAGGATTCCAGCAAGCCAGCTTTGTTAATAGCATAGCTACTACTAAGGTATAGCAGCACTTTAAACATCTTATAATTATTATTATTCTCATCAGCATGCAAAGAAAGCAGTGTCCGATAGCGCAGGGCTAGTGGATTTTACTATCGGGCTAGTGGATTTTACTATCGGGCTAGTGAATTCTGTTCTTGACTTGCCCGCCTAGCAAGTGAAATTTTGTAATGAATTCTAATCGCAAAAGAACTGTATCAACCCTGCTCATCATCGGGCTAGTTAAAATAACTTTTGGGCTAGTACATGCTAACTACAGCTTGCACGAATGGCAAGCTGTAAAACTGAGTTTCTTTGCACCCTGATTATCTTGATGCTTTGTTTATATGTGATCAAAACAAAATCAGCATAGCTGTTGGAGTTTGTTTTTGTTCCAAAAAAGCAAACAAACAAAGTTAAGGTAATTAGGGAAATGATAAAAAAATAATTCTGGTGTATCTGACACAGATGGACTTTCATTGTATGTCACAGGATTTGACGTAAGTGCTAGCTCAGTCGCCAATGTGAGTGTGAAAGTCTATCTTTGAGTGGAAATCATAGAATACTTGCCCAGTTTAGTGAGTGAAATTTCAACTTCTGGAAAAAAAATTGTAACTGATTGGTTTTCATAAAATATGACCTTATAAATGTAAACATACCAGTACTAGGCTTAAAAACCTAGCAATACCATTTCTCAGTTCTAATTTGATTTGGTTAAATGTTGTTTAACTAAGTTAACCACCACAATCTTAGCAGTCAAGCGGTTAATGAGCTTAGTGGTCAAGCAGTTCACAAGCATGGCGGTCAAGCGGTACACAAGCAAAGAGGTCAAGCAGTTCATGAGCTTAGCGGTTAAGCAGACCACAAGCTTAGCGATCAAGCAGTCCACACACTTAGCGGTCAAGCGGTCCACGAGCTTAGTGGGTATTCAATGGTCAATCCCATAAGTGCAGGCTCACTTGGTACATGGTAGCTTTGTACACTGCTGGATCTTTGAGTTCTTCATTGAGCGTTTGTGCAGCAGTCTGCGGAGCATCTTCCCCTCCTCCAACCCCTTATTTTTCCTCCTTCCACTGTTTCATCAGTGAGACAGGTGCCTGGAATGGGGGCTCATGGCTTTGTTGCGGGGATTTGCTAGCCATGGGGGCAGTATTCTATCTAGGTGATGGCTGGCCACAGTGGAATCCCCTAGGTATCCCAGGCACCTACCTTCCACTTATATGCACATTTAGTAAATGGTTAATTTTTGTATTTCAGGGAGGGACTCATGTTAATTATGTAACGGATCAAATTGTGGAGAAGCTCATGATTGCAGTGAAGAGGAAGAACAAAGGTGGCATTGAAGTAAAGCCATTTCAAATAAAGAATCACCTGTGGGTTTTCATCAACTGTCTTATTGAAAACCCCTCATTTGATTCCCAAACTAAAGAAAACATGACGTTACGGGCCAAGGCTTTTGGATCCACCTGCGATTTCAGTGACAAGTTTATTAAACAGGTTTGAAAGTTTGTTACATGTAATGTAAAACCTGTATTAATTAAAAGGGGCACTCTTTACGACCCTTGCAACTGTTCACTCTATAAAGGTATGTGTCTGCTTAATACAGGTTCAGTTTACAGGAGGTAAAAAAAGTTCAATACTAACACATGCCAATCTGCAATAATTCTGCAATAAAAAATAAGGTTCATAAATTATACTCTGGCATAGGGTTTTACATTACCAGGGGTATTTTATATTGTAACAAGTAAAAGCAATATAAATGAATGAATGAATGAAATGCCACTACGTGCTTGCTGATCACTGCTTATTTATTTGGTACTACAGTAGAACCTCTATAACTTGCACTCAGACAACTCGAATTCCACGCTAACTTGAACTAAATTATTTTGTTTTGCCTTCATCAAAATTTCACTGAAATTTACCCAGGTAACTCAAATTCTCTGCCAACTCAAACAGTTTTTCGTCTCCCTTCAGAGTTCGTGTTACCTACTGTATTTTTTTAATGCACCAATGTAATAGTTGAAGTGCTTTAGCCACATGTACTGAGAGTTACCTGCATAGTAGATACAGTACAGGGCTGTGCTCTAGCATCCCCCAGTGGCTCCTAGTGACTTACTTTTGGGCCTTGTCAAAAGAAATCATACACTGGCCACTCTGAATTTGTCAGGTTCAGAGCACTGGGGTCCTTCAAATGTTCTTAGAGCACAGGCTGCCTTGTTATAAATAATATTGTCAGACAAATTAAACCCAAGAAAAGTCATGCTTTCATTGTATCATTCATCTAAAATATTAATCTCTCTTGGCAGGTGACTCAGTGTGGTGTTGTTGAACACATCATGAACTGGGTGAAGTTCAAAGCACAGGTACAGTACTAAATACATTATCTAACTGTAACTTCCAGAATGAAATTTTCTATGATATAAGAATTATGGTCCAATTATTGTTTATTCCAGAGTCAACTCAACAAGAAATGTCAGAAAACCAAGTCCAGCAAAATTCGTGGAATTCCGAAACTTGACGATGCCAATGAAGCAGGTGGACGGAACTCAAAGCAATGTACACTCATCTTAACAGAAGGAGATTCAGCCAAGACATTGGCTGTGAGTGGCTTGAGTGTGGTTGGCAAAGACCATTATGGAGTGTTTCCTCTACGTGGCAAACTGTTAAATGTACGAGATGCTTCACACAAGCAGGTACACCTACATTGCATGCTATATAAGTAAGATCTGATACAGGCTTGATATCTAAGTTCTGGAAATAAAAAATGGCAAGTGTTTCATGATGGGGCAGAAGTGTGTTATAATCCACACTTTGTCAGACTGCCCTGTATTTTAACGTACTTGTTGGCATAAAAAAGTGTAGTAGTTAAATAGGTACAAAAAAGAAGAGATCATGTGGCTAGCTTTTTGGTTGATGGTTATCTTAAAGTTTTTTCTGCCCTCTAATGCTGGCTGTTTTTAGACTTCTAAAAAAGTCACAATGGCTGCCCTTTGATTGGGACATACAGGCAGGTGTTTAAGTTTTTTAGTATGGTACAAAAGCATTACCTGGAAATAATGATAATTAGACTGTATTCTTCTGTAGCAATCGGAGTTGTCATAGTACATGTACTTTTTAATGGTCCTTATCTTATTAGAACCATTATTTACTAGAATAAAATTCTTTGGATGCAAAATTACCAATAAATGCTGTCTTGGAATAAATGCTGAACCCAATCAAAAAATGCAGTGTTTATTCAAGGATGATAAGAAAGAAATCGGTACATTGGTAATCCACACCATCGAGTTAGAAATACAGCAAATGGTGAGACATTAACAAAATAATTAATTTTAGTTGTTGTCAGTGATTCAAGGATAAAATAGTGATTTTGAGGTAAATACTGCCCTTGAGTAAATGCCTCCTTGGTAATGCGATATAGAGCACTAAAGCACAGCTTCTTGTATAGAGGGCGCCTAACTGGCAAATTTTAGCCTAACAGTTTCTTAGTCATGGGTTTTAACTGTTTGTGATTGCAGATTCTTGACAATGCAGAGATCAACAACATTATCAAGATTCTTGGTCTGCAATATAACAAGAAGTACTCATCAGAGGATGATTTAAAGAGTTTGAGATATGGACATGTTATGATTATGACTGATCAGGATCAGGATGGATCTCACATCAAGGGACTTCTCATCAATTTCATTCACAGTAATTGGCCACAGTTGACTCGTTTGCCCTTCTTAGAGGAGTTCATTACTCCAATTGTTAAGGTCAGTGTTGACTTTCCTTTATATCCGATTATGGTTACTCTTCTCAGACAATGGAAAGTTATTAAAAAGCAGTGATCATGAATGAAGCTATTTTACAATGTAATTGACCCGACTGCATCGATGTTCACTGCTAAAATGACACAGGGTTCTCCAGAAGCATCGGCTACTCCCTGAATTATTTCAAGAGGAAAATATTGAATCTGTCAAGTCTTTGCTTCTCAACTCTTTGTTGAATGAAAAAAAAAAAAAACAGTTATATAAAGTAAAGCAAATGTAGCTAAATGAAGCTGCCATTCTCATGGCTAAAATCCCTTGCCTGGTCACTCAAAATACACTGAAATACACTTTGTAGGAACCCCCAATTTACAATAAGGAAGGCTCCCAGGTTCCTTTAGTGGGTGCGGGGAGAAGGGCGGCTGATTCCACTTGTATACCTGCCCCTGTCCACATGCAAGTGCTTTTCGGTCTAATCTATTGCTGCCTACTTCAATGTTGTCTCCTTCCTCTTGAAATGTTGTGGACAACACTGATGAGATGATATTAATTTGGCCTCCCTCAGTATCAGAAAAAGTGACTTACAGAAGATGCTTCTGTGTGTTCAGCCTGTTTGATTCCTGGACATCAAGCCATTGTGGTTGACCTCTGATTCCTGTGCCGATTGTGTCAAACTTTAACCCTTTGAAGGACATTATTTCTCTCTTGAACTTTATGATGTATCTGCTGCTTTGTGTGTGAGTAGCTCTTGGTTGAAGTTTTCATGGACCTTAACTTAAGCCCTAGCCCTTTCATCACACCAAATGGTATGGAAATCATTTTGGATTTACTAAAATTGTTTACAATATTTTTTTCTTCTTTTCGTAAAAGGTAAGCAAAGGCAAAGAAGAGAAATCATTCTACAGTATTCCTGAATACGAGGAATGGAAAAGCAGCACAGAGAATGTCAAATCTTGGAAAGTAAAGTACTATAAGGGGTTGGGTACGAGCACCCCTAAAGAAGCAAAAGAATACTTTGCTGATATGCATCGTCACCAGATTCAGTTCCATCATGAGGGTGCTGCTTGTGATGAAGCCATACTTATGGTATGTATGATGTCATTTCTGGAATTTAACCTCTCTCTATACTCCTGTGGCATATTATGATAAAATATTTCTTTATTTTGTTCTTCATTGTTGATTATGGAGATCTGAGCTTAAATTTGTATGTGCATTTTCATCTTTGCCACTAAACTTGCAATGTCATATTGCACAATTCACTACACTAACCCATACAGGACATACCAGTACATTGTAAAGTATTGTCCAAAGAAACCTTAATGTTTTTCTCTAACCCTACTGCTTCTGGTATATTAGTAATTAATATTGTCTACAGTAATTGCCGTGTTAGTAATGAACTGTTGTGAGTACATGTTTGTGTTTGCTATTTTTGTTCCTTTTCCAAAAGGCATTCAGTAAGAAGAAAGTAAATGATAGGAAAGACTGGCTTACACGTGCCATGGATGACCGCAAATGGAGAAGGCAGCAAGGTCTTTCAGAGGTGAGTTACGTAAGGAGAAACACTGTAGATGGCAATCATTGATAAAGAACTAATGCTAAATGAACACCTGTGTTATATGCGCGCTTTTGATCATATCTACACGGAAAAGGTGTGTTATAAATTTTTAATTGTTATTATTATTATTATTATTATTATTATTTGTGACAATTGCCAAAGCTGTAGAGGTGTTTGAGTTTTCTAAGATCTCACTTCAAAACTGTATTATGCCTTTTCCTTTTCATTTAATTGCTGAGGAAGAGGCCTGGGCCCAGTTGTTTGAGATTTTTTAACCTGAAGTTAAATAACCCGGTTTCTCTTTCTTGTGTTCAAAAACTGTATTTTTTTTTCTGTTATATTTGCTTTTTCAACTTTTCAAAAAGAATTTGAAATTCTTTTTAAGCTTTCAAATCTGAATTCAAATCTGGCACTAATACTGGGTTATCTTAACCCGGCTTTGAACAACGCGGCCCTGAAGTCTAATCATCTTATAAACTTTTTTCTTGCAGGTTTACTTGTATGAGAAGGACACAAAGTCAGTTTCATACTCTGATTTTGTTAACAAGGAACTTATTTTGTTTTCAAATGCTGACAATGAACGATCAATTCCATGCTTGGTTGATGGTAAGCTATGATTCCTGGTACCCCACCGCTGATGGCCTGTGAAGAGTCATGACTTTGATTAATCTTACAATCCACCAGTGAAGCTAGTCTAGCTATTTGTAGTCAATAGCTGGCCAAAAACGCAAATTACCCAAATGTTGTTTACAAGTTGAGCACCTAAATTACAGTTAATTTTGTAGTTCAGACATGTACAGAAGGTAAAATTCTACTGCCCCCTGTCTTGACCTTTAGCTTCTGCTTTCTCTCCTCCTTGCTCCTTTATTTTTTCCTTTTTTCCTTTGCTTGGCATCCTATACTAGGCTTTATTTCCCTAATTTCAGTGGGAAAAGGTTTTGGCACAAGGGCTGTTGTTCCACACAGGCAGTCACGGATGTCACTAAGATTTCAAGTTACCGGGTAAATACAACAAGTAGGCAGGGAATCAGACAGCTAGGAACTTCGTTTGGTTATATTTTTCTTCTGTTTTCCTACAGTTGGATGAAACTAGCTGGGGAAAACCCTGGCTCCTGCCTCTTAATATCAGCCCTGGGAAGTTATAGGCAGCTGGGGTTGTGAATAAATGATTAACCTTGTTTCCTGTTTTTTGTTTTTGTTTTTTTTTATCATTATTATTATTATAGGTATGAAACCTGGACAGAGAAAGGTTCTTTTCACTTGCTTTAAGAGGAACGACAAACGAGAGGTTAAAGTAGCCCAGCTTGCAGGATCGGTGGCTGAATTGTCTGCCTATCACCATGGTGAGGTGAGTGATCAACTCTTCTTTTTCTTTGTTCCGTGAGAACAAAACATTTTTCACTTTCTTTGGTCCCACGCCAGGCCAGTTTAAATCCTTTGTGGATCTTTCTGTTACCTGTAATAATCCACTGGTTGTGGGAAGGCAGCGTGCAAAGAAAGTAGTGTCCGATAGCTCGGGACTAGTGGATTTTGCTATGGGGCTGTTGCGGTCTTTTTCTTACGTTGCCCAACAGGCAAGTGATGTTTTTCAAGGAATTCATATCACGGAAGAAGTCAAAACCTAGTCATCAAAAATTGTTTGTAGTGTTAGTTGAAATGGCTTTTGGACTAGTACATGCAAGCTACAGCTTGTCCGAATGGCAAGCTGCAGAACTCCCTTTTTTACACCCTGGATGGGGTATGCAAATTAACCTTCACCACAATGCTCTTTCATCATCATTCAAAGTTCTTTCAGAGGTAAGAACAAGAAAATTCTGCCTTGTACTTAAAACGGGATTCTTATACAAGTGTAGTTCGTGGGAATCTAGGAAAGGGATAGAATTCCATTTTCTTCGTCACTTTGTTCCTCGCTAGTGACGAAAGCATAAGCATAAGCCTATAAACGTGGTTCTGATTAGCGACTTAAGAATACATGTACTGCAAGTACGAGCCATCAGTTAGTAAGGATGAATATCAAAACCTTCCTTTCTTCTTACGCTTTTGCTAATGTTTTTTCACAAACGTCCGCACTACCACATATGGTTCTTATACTCATTCTTTTGCTTATGCTTGCATTATGTTTATTCTTATGCTTTTGCTTTATGCTTGTTTCACTGATGAGGACTGGGCTTAACTGTGCATCATTTCAGATTGCCCATTTACCCCTTTCCGGAAACCCGTGGAAAAATCAGGGAATTCTAGAACATACCAACCATACAAAGCCTAATAAAATGTTGAACACTTAATCAAATACGGTCAAATTTTGTGGTTGAAGAGGTCATTGGAATGGTCTACATTGTAAGGTTACACAAAAGCGTTTGTCAAATTGAAGGTTAAAACTGAATTGCTAGACAAAAAAGGGACTTTGGTAAACTGCCAAGTTTTCCTTCCAAATTACTGTACTTCAAATTTATTGTTAAACTAAAAAAAAGAGAATTTGAGGTTACTTCATTAGTCACCCTGGAATAGTGATAGGGTCAAACTAATTTTCCGTGTTAATTCTCGGCAGACAAGTCTTATGGGCACCATCGTCAACTTGGCACAGAATTTTGTGGGTAGCAATAACGTCAACCTGCTGCAACCCATCGGCCAGTTTGGTACCCGCATCCATGGTGGCAAGGATGCTGCTAGCCCTCGTTATATCTTTACCATGCTAAGCCCTTTAGCCAAGCTCCTGTTTTCCGCACACGACATGCCCAACCTGACTTACCTGTACGACGACAACCAGCCCGTTGAACCAGAATGGTATTGTCCCATACTACCCACAGTGCTTGTGAATGGTGCCGAGGGGATTGGCACTGGTTACAGTACAAAAGTGCCAAACTTTGATGTGCGGCAGATCATTGACAATCTAAAGAAAATGATCAATGGAGAAGAACCAGAGGAGATGGTAAGGCTAATTATAATTACTTAATATACTGTACTGGAACTAAGAAACTAAAAAAAATGCATTTTTATGGAAAATATCTAAGTTTGCCATATTTTCGGTTGTCACTTCTATCAGCCGTAAAGTCTCGTTTCTCGGCCTGTGAGTCAAAAGGCTAAGCAACAGTATTATTAGATAATAAATTTTATTAAAAACTGAATCTTTGGATACTGCAATTCCAGAGCTCTGATTGGCTTAGCCATCATGGTATATGAGCCTTTATACCATGCTCTCCAAGTATAGTAACTGTACGCGTCTGCTCAAAATTAAAAACAAGCTGAAAATCGGTTGTTTTTACAAATAAAGTCGGGAAGAATTCTCGATATTTTGTAGGCGTTTTTACTAAAACAATTATTCCACTCGTGATAGCCAACTGGGCGCTACACGCCTCGTTGGCCATCTACCATCTCATATACAACGCCACTCGTGGAATAATAGTTAAATTTTCGTTGCAAACCAAACGACATCTAAAATTATGAGAGTGAAGTTTCTTCAGTCAGTGACACAGGCGACTGGAAAAGAAGAAATGCGTGTACTGACTACTCACAATATGATATGGCGCCTACTGACCACCTCTGGTTAGTAGTCCGTCCAGATGCTCAGCTCTAACAGGAGAATCACTGGAGCTGCTGAGGCGATTAAAGGGCCTATCTCACGAGTATATTGCTGTTCGAGGTCATTTCTGTGCTGAAGTCATTTCTCGGTGTCTTTGGCCCCTACACTCAATTCTCCTGTAGAGTTATGAGACGATTTCACACAAATTTCATCAGGGAACACTGGCCATATTTATTTTTTGGTTATTTTTGCAGGCATGGCTTAAAACTAAAAAAAAAGTGGCCCAATTTTTTTTTATTTTTTTAATTCGTCCCCCCCCCCTCCCTAACTATGTTCATGTTAAAAATATCCTGTACATTGTTAGGGTCGGATTATTTGAAGGTAGTGTGTACGCAGTTTTAATTTACATCGAACACTGCTCATCCGTTTCAGGCTCCATCTTACAAGAACTTTATTGGCACCATCACTCAAGTCGATTCCCAGAAATACCTTGTCCGTGGAAATGTGGAGGTTGTTGACACCAAAACTGTAGAAATTACTGAGCTTCCAGTGGGAACCTGGACACAAGCTTACAAAGAGAATGTGTTGGAGCCGATGCTGCACGGAACAGAAAAAGTGCCTCCCGTTATAACGTAAGATACCCATTATCAGACTACACTATTAGAATCACTTTGTAGTCAAGCCAGGTCAAGCGTTGACCTGGCTTGACTGTAATAATTTATAGACGTCGGGTTCATTATTTTATGATCTTGGAATGATGTGCGTGTACGGCCGTATCCCCTCGTTACATCAGTCTTTAGGTTGTTTGGAAGTAGCAATTCGCAAGAAGTTAGATGCATTTGTATATTAAGAGTCTTTGCACGGATTATGGTAAAGCGATTATATCTGAGTCACGCAAAACCAAAAAAATGTCATTGGTAGAGTTTGGGTTTGGGTTAAGCCTGGAAACTCATAGGAAACAATTTTTTAAATCAGTTATCACTTTGACAAAAACAAAAACAAAAGAAAAAAAAATAAAAAGCAGCTGGTCTTAAAACCTGAAAAAAAGTGCGAAGACCGTGGTGAAAACGTTACTCTTAATGTGATATGTCAGATATTTGCCTTGTTCTTTTTTGCGTTTAATAAAATCGCAAATAAGAACCTGGCCAATATTCAGCTATCTTGACCTCACGCATAGTCAAAAACGCATTTCCAGCCAGTCATAACTCTTCACCAGCAAACCATTCTTAGACAAGATTCCTTTCGTTACCTATGTTTTAGTGATTACAAGGATTACTATACAGACACATCTGTGAAGTTTATAATCAGCATGACAGAGGACAAGCTCGCTGAGGCTGAACAGTCAGGACTGCACAAGAAGTTTAAACTTGAAAGCACCATTTCCACTAGCAACATGGTAAGGTTTCTAGGCGAGACAAGGAGTTTTGACAATTATAGTGGTTGAAAAAGAGCCGAGGTTGACAGTCTGTTCTTAAGGTAAAATACTCAATATGAAAAACAAGATTCATTGCCAACAAAATAGCTCTCAGAATCGTGCAAAGTACATGTATATGCAGAGCGTTTTATTTCAACTCATAGAAAAAACACAGATTCCATTAAGCCAGAAACTCATAAGGGGTTTCTGATTAAGCTTAAAGATGTCTTTCTGACGAAATTTTCGCGAGTTGTGTCTTTCTTATTTCAGTTTTTTTGTTTTTGTTTGTTTGTCTTTTTTTTTCAAAATCGCAGAGTTTAAAATTTAAGAGACTTCGTACAAACTCAAAGTAGTTGCTTACAATCTAGACGTTCATTTTATTAAATTCTCTAATTTGGTTAGCTTTGTTATAGCATGATTATGCCCAAATACCCTATTGGTACTTAATGTCGCGGCTACTTTATTTCGCGATTTTTGCAAGACAGTATTTCGCAGGGTTTTATTTTCCCGATTTAAATTGGAAAATATGAAAAAAAGGCGTTGAATTTCGCGATTCAAGCGTTCTCAACTTCACCGAAGTTTTGAAAATTTCTAGATACACTGGAACAAGCAAAACGCATATGTACTTTTTTTTGTACGAATCTAGCGATTCAGTTAAAAGATAGCTAGATGATTTCTCTTCTCTACTTTATATGTAAAGTCTTTGCAAATTAACGTTACTTCAAAGCAGAAGATACAAAATGGAATTTACCCGTAAAATCATGATTTGTCAATACATATCCTGTATATGTTCTTGTTTTTACAGTATTGATCTTTTTTTGCTGTGATTTGAATTTTCAAAATAGATATTGAATTTCACGAGCCTTTAATTTCACGATTTTTTTTACAATCGCGAAAAGCGCGAATTTTAATACCCGGGAAATTAAGTACCAAAAAGGTAGAAAGAATTTAAATTTTCCTAACGTCAAACGAACTTAAATTATTTTAGGTACTTTTTGATTCCATGGGCTGTCTTCGCAAGTTCGATTCACCGCTGGATATTCTGAAGGAATTTTTTGAGCTTCGTCTGGAGAGATATGTCATTCGTAAAGCGTGGCTTGAAGGAATGCTGGCAGCGGAATCAGAAAAATTGAACAGTCAAGCTCGGTTCATTTTGGAAAAAATCGAGGGCCATATCATTATTGGTGAGAGAAGAACCAAGACATTATTTAATCTATTATTATTGGATACTTAGCGGGTAGCAACCGTATAGTCTTCTCTGCCATTTGATGTGCGTTGCTTTGTTCTCTTTTTTTCTGCGTCCAGGCACGTAGAGCTTAATAAAGGTGTTGTCACACTAGGCCAATTTCTGTTGTGAATTGTCTTACAATTTTTGCCTAGAAATAAGTGTTGCAGCGAACACCCTGGAAATAAAAAGGCTCGCCGAGACGTTTTCGTAGCCGCACGCGTTATGCAAAGTAGAATCACGGATGCATCGACCATCACGGCCATTACTAAATAGGTTGAGACATGTTTATTTCAGGGGATATTTCTCTAAAACAACCCCTAAAAATAGTCTCGCAACGGCGCAGACCCAGTAGAAATATTCCCTTCCACGTTTTTTTTCCCGATTATCCCAAGTCGACCAGATACTTTAAAGGACAGAGATTAGGTTGGAGCTGAAGGGAGGGAACCGCGTTAAGAAAGAGATGGTACAATTTATCACCTTGCCGTTCCCGTTCTCAAGTAAACTTAAAATTTGGTCTGTAGTTTCACGTTCTACTTGTGCAGTGACGGTATTTGCAAAAAAGCGTGATGCACGTGCAGAGTTGTTGTTTCGCTCATTAAACCCATTCCCTTTTCTGACGTTCCCGTTGCTGTCACTATCGTAGTTTCATAAGGTCCCTAATATTTGCTCGCATCGGAACCGGGTATCTCAAGCTCCTTTATGCCCGGTGAAACAACTTATATCTTGTTTGTTACAATACAGAGAACAGAGCTAAGCGTGATGTCATCACTACCCTTGTTCAGCGTGGCTATCCATCAGATCCAGTCAAAGGGTGGAAAGACATTCAGAAGTCAAGTACCGCCGCGGAGGCAGACGACGATACCAGTGATGACTCTTCTAGCGTGGCGAGTTCTGCTTCTGGTGCAGGCGGTCCTGACTTTAATTATTTATTGTCCATGTCACTGCTGTCGCTTTCCAGAGAGAAGAAAGAAGAACTGTTGAAAGAAAGAGATAACAAGGTTTGTTTAAGAGCTTGTAATTCCCTCACAGTCTGCCCTCCACTGATAGAGGGTTAATTTTTGTTTCGGTTGTGTCGATTTGGCGTTCGGCATAATTTTGATTGCAGTTCTCAACTTTGCTGTCAGAATTGGAAATAACATTTTATTAATGTCATCATCATCATTTATATTATTATTAAAACGTGACATGATATCTCACAAGTATTCTGACATCTTTTAATTCGTTTTCAACTCATCTCTCTGATATCCACATTGTTATTGCACAGGCGGAGGAGCTAGAGGTTTTGCGCGGCAAGTCACCTCAAATGCTTTGGCTTGAAGACCTTGATCAATTCCAGGATGAGCTTGAGGTTTGTAACCTGTGTTAACGCAACCTTTGTTGAACCATTTAGAACCACTACCGCTTTTGAAATCTAATTTTTGTGTTTGTTCTCTGTGTGTCTATTTAAAGCGAGTTGAGCAGCAAGAAAGAGACGATGAAGAAATGTGCGTGAAACCCAAAAGCGGACGTTCAGCGCAGCAGAAAAAGAAACCTTCAAAGCAAGCAAAGAAAACAGACAGCAAGCCAAAGGCGGAGCCAAAGAAGCCGGTTGTCGTCGCCGAGAACAAAGAAAGTAAGAAAGCCCAGGCCAAGGGTGGGAAAGGAAAGAAAACAGACCCGAAAACATCAGAAAAGAGTGATGACTCATTCGAGTTTGACGAGGGCGAGTCGGCAGCTCCTATGTCTTTGGCAGCTAGACTGGCGAAGCGTCAGAAACCTCTCAGTTCATCGTCATCTTCGTCTGGAACAGAATCAAGTTCTAAAGCCAAGAAGCAGGCAACTTTAGAGAGGTTCGGCAGTAAGAAGGCTCCTAAAAAGAGAGCACAAAAGGCGGCGGAGGACAGTGATGATGATTTGATCATGGAATTTAGTGAGGAGGACGAGGAAGAAATCTCTGCACCTGCCGTGAAGAGAACAGCTCGAGCAGCCGCTGCAAAAAAAGTGAGCAATTAATACGATTGCTTTTTACAAAACCCGAGCTTTTTAAGATGTCAGTTGACATTTTCAATTGTTATGACACTTTCGTTTCCCTTGGTTCTGATGCCTGTTACATTGTTTTTAGGCCTTCTCAGCAAGCTCCGATGAAGACGATGATGTCATATCGGTTACCTCGTCTAAAAGTTCAACGAAACCAAGCGTGGATAGCGCGAACAGCGATGCAGAATCCGACAAGAGTGATGTACAGGCTACACGGGCTTTGATCGAGAAGCTGTCACCTACAAAACCTTCAAAGCCCACCCAAAAGGTCAGACCTATTCATTAAATAATTGACTTAGATCATAGTTAATAGAGTGGATTTTTTATGAAGCCCGTCAGACTCCTTTGTTATATGTTTTTGTGGTCCTGACAGTGCACAACGTCCAATGGACGCCCATTTTGTAAATGTGGAGTTGTTGGAATTTTTGACAAAACATGTCTGGACGGCCAGTTTTCAATGTGGTAAAAGCCTGGTGAGGACAGTGGAACTGTTAATGTGGAGTTGGAATTTTGATGAAAAACCCCTCAGAAGAGAACTATTAAGTTTGCTTACCACTGCTTTTCGTTTTCTTCCGGTAGTTGTAAAATCATGACACGCCCTTGATATTTTTGTTTTGTCTGACTAAGCAGACTAGCTGGACATGTGTCCTTTCAACAGATATAAAATTAATCATTTGCAGCTCAGGGGCCGGTTGCTCGAAGCCTGGTTAGCGCTAACCGTTGGTTAAGAGGTATCAAAATGTATAGGTTTCCACGGTATTTAACGCTGGTTAGCACTAACCATGCTTCGAGCAACCCGAGCCTGTTGTTTTCATTCACACGTCTGATTGTTATCCATTCCGCTATTTCTAACTTTACAGGCAAAAGAAGCAACAAAGAAGCCGACTAAGGCCAAGGCTGCCGAAGCACCACCAACTAAAGAGCCAGCCAAGAAAGGAAAACGGGCAAAGGCGGCGGCGGTGATCAGCAGTAGCGACGAAGATTCCGATTCAGTCTCCAAGAAACCAGCAGCCGTTAAGAAAACAAAGACATCCAAGGTACTGGTACCCAGACACCCTTTACTACAGTCCACGGCAAATGGTTTAATAAGGCTGTGTCACGAAATTTATCAAAATTCAAAGATTAGGAACCGCCACCAAATTGAGGGAAACATAAAATAACAGCTCAAAAAGTTAGAAGAAGGTATAAGGAAGCAAGGATGGACAAACTTGAAGAAGATTGAAATTGTGGTTTTTGAAAACTTGTTCACCTAACAGTTTTTCAAAGTTCATTTTTGTTGTTTGTAACGATTGATATGATGCTTTGGAGATGATTTTGTCGTTCGCAGGTAATTTCTCAAGCTTCATAGTGAATAAGGACGCGTAACTGGCATTAAAAAAAAAAAGAACTAGACAGAGTGAGACACACCATTTTTTAGCTTCCCTCCCTCGGGCACTGTTTTAGCGGATAGGCGTAAGGGTCACTGTTCAATTTTTTTTAAACTCCTTATCTTAATTCAGGGTACACAAACAGTGTTTTTTCAGAAGAGGCGCTAGCCAGCTGAGGGGTTTACCTCGTTGTAAGAACCTGTCAAGTTTTCCCTTTGTTTTGTTGCTAATCTTATTTTCCCTCTAATTAATAATTGAGACCGAGGTTCCTTTGAAGCCTCTGCATGAGCGCTGGGTTGGAAATTAGAATGGCATAGGCTGAAAGTGGCGTACGAAAAAGAAAAGCTTTCTTCATTCCAAGATATTTAACATTCACTTTATTGATGAATATATGAATTTTGTAAATTGGAACTGCGGAATGAAGAAATAAAGCAAATAAATGTCTGAATTTTGTCAGGCTTTCTTTTCGCAACTGCGTAAGTTGCGTCTATTACTGCGATGATTTTCTTTGCATTTATTTATTGATTTATTGCCGCCTCAGCTCATTCTACAGACTGCTAATTGTGGTTCTTTTTTTCTCCGTTTTCTCATTACCACAGGTTCAGAAGTCTCCACCAAAAAAGTCCAAAACCAGCCGAGACAGCTCCAGTGACGACGAACCGCTGGAAACTGCCGCTGTTCGAGCCCGCGCTCCACGCGCTGGAAGAGCTAAGGCAGCAGTGAAATACTTTGAAGACAGCGATGACGACGTTAACGATAAGGAAAATGATGACACTAAAGACTGGTCGATTTCTGATAGCGATTTTGACGAAGAGTAGGTAGGGAGAGAGATACTTCCGTTTTCGGCTTTGATGAAACAGAAGAGTGTTGCTTACGTTATGTTTGATTCTGAATTTTAGAAGCAACGTTTGCCAGGTGCAACTTGCACTCTAACATGCAACTTTCGCCCGTTATCGTTACGTTCTGTATTGTAAGATAACACAAAATACCTGCCACTTATTGGTATATTAAGGCTCATTGCGTTGGCATGAAAATGGTATAATTTGGTATGATTCTTTATGCAATGTAAGATTTTCGTTGGGAAAGGTATGTGAGCAGGTTGTTCATGAAACACGATATATGTTAAGCTCCTCTATAAACGGTTACATGTATTACCGAAGGAGTATCAGATCATATTGTGCCCTTGTATTAGATTAGAACTGGTACAGATTCTCGAAACTGTAAATAGCACTTTGTTTTAACTACGGGCTTGTATTGGAATATTCATATTGGGTTGTATTCAGTATAATAAAACAGAGGCTGAAGAAATGCAAAATGCCTATTTTGTTTTCTAGGACTTCTGGCCACCCCTAAAACCCAAACCTAGGCAAAGCCGTATTTACAAGCGTGAATTGTCGGTGCGCAAATTCCTTTGCAAAAAGAGGAGAGAAAAAGAAGTGTCCCAAAACCTTTGGCCACCGCCAGGATTGTAGTAACCAAGGGAAATGAAACGACATTGCTCGAAAGAAAAAATTTGCACCGGGACAAAAGCGTTGCATTTATGTTTCGACCGAAATTTCTATTACTTCTCAGAGAATGTTTGAAAATGGAACGGTAAGTTTTCGGCTGACCTATCAGATGGGACCACTTCTTGAGGTAGCAGCTTTATCCGAAAACTTTCCACCTGCGCAAAAACGTTGCATTATGTTTCAACCGAAATTTCCGGAAATTTTGGCATAATGGAAAGCACCTCTTGTTGAGAGTCTGGAAATTCACGACGGAGCGTCTAGGTATTTCCAGAAACTCATAAGGAGTTGAAACGTGTAACTCTCATATGTTTGCTTTTTCCGATACTCGTGATTATTCATTTTCGAAAGTACCATATTTGGAACGAGAAGAAGAGATAACTGACCAATGAGTTTCTGGTATTTCTCTATGGTCTTTGATTACGTTGGAAAAGGTATGATATCCAATGTAACCACACAGGCGAGTTAATCAATCACTCCTCATACTTACATTAAGGCGGATCGGTCTATCTTTGCTGTTATAAAGTTAAACTGCACAGATTAGAGCTAATCACCGGAAATATTGCATTCTTGAATGATAATCCAATAGAGATAAACTTGTGGCCCAGCTTATTTTATGAATGATGATGACTAAACCCTGATAAAAGTGATAAAGTCATGGATTAAAGGAAACTACTTTGAGAAGAGAGATAAAGATTAGCAATTTTCATCGATTTCAGTTCATTTTTTCCCTTGACACCTTGTGTAAGGTACTAAAGAATGGTTGCATAATGTGACAGGGCTCGCCTCTGGGCCCAAAAAATTTGCTTAAAGGGATTATGTCAAGAGGATATTGCTGTTTTAGATCAAATCTCTGCTGAAGTCATAACTCAGTGCCTTCACCCACACCCAAAATCCCTCGATAGAGTTTTGAAAAAAATATGAAACAAATTCCATTAAACAACAAAACTGGATCATTACTTTTGGAATTCAGTTGATGCAAAGATACGTTTTAGCTTTTTAAAAAGAGCGAATAGTATGACGTAGTAGACCCTTTCAAGCGTAATTATCAGTCAGTTTACAGCTCTTTGGTAACATGCCATCTCAATTCCAAAGGGATAAACTATTGATAATCGTCGCTCTTGCAAATATCTATATACAGCATCGGTGCTATGTTAGGATACCTAAAATGCGTGCTATTCCACAGTTGGTTTCGGCTCTATTAAATCTTTCTAACAAAGAAAACATTAAGTTTAAAGCAACTTGTCGCCTGTGGTTAGGTGCACGCCAGTGTTACTACACTGTATTATTCCCAAAACATGTTTACATTTGGTTGGCGACAGTGTAGAAATAAGCACGCCATTCATAAACGAGTTAGAGTACAGTTTCAAAATTTAAGTCAAAGCAAAAATTAATGCATTTAGAGGAGACAGTAAACATCTTTAGGTTAAGAAAATGTTTTCATGGAAACCTTACAATACTTCATAACACAGGCCGCCCAAGCTCACTACAGGAACGCGGACGTGTCGTTACAAAGGCTTTGGCTGAGGCTTGTACGGGAACAAATGTTATGTTTTTAAATAAAATCGACTTACCTTACTGTCTTGTGGTATTCTTTGTTGTTTGCCCGCGTCTCAGGCCGTTTTGTAGCAGTGGAACACCAAAATAGCGCTAACTCGCCGAAAACGCTTCAGAACATTTTTATTTATTTTTTTATTTAAAAACATAACATGTTTTCTCACTTTTAAGAAAAACCGTTTACATCCCACACAAGCCTTTGCAAATAACCGTTTGTAACACAATACCTCTTGCAAGCAAGAGTCACGTCCGCGTTCCTGTAGTGAGCTTGGGCTGCCTGTGTTCATAACAGCTGAAGTGTTTGGAGTCGCTTTTGATTGATAGCGATGGCAAAACAGGGCTTAAGATAAAAGTTTCAATTAACTGAAAAAAGAACCATACAGCAGGTTGATCCGTGGCAGTTTATTAAAAAGAGAAAGGAAACGAGTTTCCATTTTATATCCCAGGAATTTATCATGTAAATACATGTGCATCATTACATCATCTCTTGCCAACAACTCGCAAACCACAAACCACCCTAACGGATCAGTTTGAAAAAGGATTTGCAGAAGAGCAAATTACTCTCAGGAAATCCGGCATTTCTCGCCTTTGCGTCTGCCCAACTTCTGTCATTTCTTTAAATTTCAAGAAAGGAATTAAGCATACTTATTTTCAGGTGATGTGATTTATATTAGCCATGTATAGTCTCTTACTGTCTGCGTAAATGAGATTCAAGTTGGAAGGAATTCAAAAATATCATTTAACTTAAGTGTTTACTGTTTAATCAAATGACCTTCTCAGCGTGAGCGTTTTCAGTTTCGTACATGCTCTGAGTTAAGTTTGAACAAGTTTTAATGGCAACATAATGCTTTGGCGTGCAAAAAAGTGTCCTTATTGCCAGATTTTATTGGGTGCTATTGATAAAGGACTGTCTTCGACAAAATTAATCCTGAATAGTTGAAGGTTTTAGCAAAGGAAGATTGTTTTGTAGGCTCCCTTCAAACCGAAGTAGACTTTAAACATGTAAAGGCCCTACCAGAAAAAGGGCTTAAAACGGGCAAGAAATCAAAGTGCACAACTCATCACGCCTCATTGGAGCCAGCTTACAGCTAAAATCGACGGCACAAAACGCGTCGATACACGAGTTTCAGTCTTATCTCGAGTCACTCTCTTCGCTGAATTTGCGCCACGTTTTTGGGCGGATCGGACCTGAATACAAATGAGATATTTTCTGCAGTCTAGACCTTGATTCCGAGGATTAAGACAAGCTCATGAAGAAAACAGCGAGGTTAAGTGTCTCTTGCAAGTTCTGCTCGTGACGCAAGGTGTTTATAAATTGAATTACTTGTAAAACAAGAAACCGAAACGTTAAAAAGACGTACATATTTTGAGACTAAAACATCTTAAATCTTATTTTCGTAACAAGCTTACGTATTTCGGCTAGACAGACAGCACTGAGATGCTAGTCTCCAAACATTGATTTCAGGATCTATTTTAACTGAGAAAACACAAGAATCCCTTTATATATCCGTTCTTTTAAATTGGTCCAAATGTTGATAAAATTAGCTTAGCTCCGCAGGGTTCACTTTAAGTGCCGGCAACCGGCTAAAAAAACCGGCTACTTTGAGGTTTTATCCCCCTACTTTTTTAAGGAAAAATTACGAGTAAAAGTGATAAGGTAAAAGTGAAAGCCTGAAATTAAATTACCAAACTGCCTACTTTTACATATTAGTTTTCTACCTTAAAGTAAAAACTAAATGAGAACTCTGGGCTTGGTTTTTATGTTTTAAACATGTAGTTTTTCAGGATTTCGGCTTTGACTGTGCCACGACTGACGGTCAGTATAGATATAAACGTCGCGATCGATGTAGAGGCGGTGTCTGTAGCTTTCGGCTTTTCCCTTACTCAACACAAAGACTTCCGTGAATGAGCCCGCGGCATGTGTGATGCCCACTCACTTCCTATTTTATTTTTTGTGACATTGATATGAGACCATTTCTTAATAAAGAAAGAGGAAACTTAAGACAAAAAATGGCTGGGAAAGCGCTTTTTAAAAATGGGTTCTCTGGTTCTATTGTGAGTGTTTTTACTAGTTACCGATGGCGAACGCGTCCATGTTATCATCTATGATCGCGGGCACTCCTCGATCGATATACAGGCCTCTTCAAGAGCTTCTATCGGCCTCTGGCCTCTTCTGGAGTATGAAAAAACCTAAACGCGCTAATAGGAAAAAAAGAAATGCAAAGGGGACCTCAGTTTGGCCGGTTTGAGTTTCATTTCATCAATGGAAAAGAGCCTTTGAGGGGGACATGATTTTTGAGGGTTCAATGTATGGTGACCTTTACTTTTTTTGGCAAAAAAGGGTAAAAATAGACCGGATTGATTAGATCATAAAACTCGCACGTATTTAATATACTGGTCTTTAAAGTGAATGTGTTTAATTATATAACTTGATGAAAACATCTTTCTTCCTTCTCACAAGGTCATTTTCTGACTTGTATCCCCGTCTGGAAAGTACAAGTCTATCAACGCGTCAATTTAGGCGGAAACTAAATTCGCCTTACTAACTTACGTACTCTAAATTTAAACATCAAGACTTTTCAGGAAATGTTTGGAATCTGTTATCATAGCCCGTATAAAGAAATTTACTCATCACATATTTTGGCTTGTTTTTCGCAAGCTAGAATCACCAGTAAGTTCCTTAGTGTCCTCCGATACAGTTTAAAAAAGCTCTGTCTTCAAAAGAATTGATACTACGATACAACAGCAACAGATGATATGGATTTCGAAAATATATTACTTGAAACCTTCAGCTCGATTTTTCAAGTCATACATTTCGTAACTAACAAGTCTTTATTTCTAATTTTTTTTTTTGCAACTAACAAGCCTTTATTTTTTCTAAAATTTTCCCTTAAAATTCCTAAAGTTGTCATCCTTGGGTTGGGGACCCTGGGGGACACATAGTCGAGACGAGAGTATGTTCGTGGGGAAAGTTGCTACCTATATATTATTCCCACGAAGATGATCCCGCCTTCCTGCCGACGTGTTGCCACTAGGTCCCCCAGCATGAAAATTTGCACCAAAAAAGCCAGCAAATTCGTGGTTCGTTCTAGGAGGGTCACAAAATGTATCTGTTTTAGACATAACTTCGCCGCTACATTGAAAAGTTCAGCCCCAAAGTGCCAATCCCAAAGTCTGATTCAGCCTCTCCTGGAGCCATTTGAGCAAAATTTAAGCCAAAACAGCCCCATCAAATGCCTATTTCATCCA